TGATGACTTAATTACTTTTTATTGGTTCGAAAAAACGCTCATTGGTGGTTCCAATTTTGGAGTTTTATGTGCAACAATCGTAAGAAATTATGCCTAAAGTGCTCACAGAAAAAAAGCGGATATTTTGAACCCAGAAATAGGTTTAAATCACAGCGGAATGATTTCTGGGTTTTAATTAACCGAAAAACCGGAAAACCGATATTTTTGTGCATTATACCGAGAGTTTCATATAAACATGCCTATAGGCATGTTACTACAGTAACAGCAAAAAAAGACGAAAAAAAATGTAAACGGCAAATTAAAATATCCGCTTTTTTTCTGTGAGTGTCAGACTAGTTGTTTGCCACTGCGGAATTTACGGTAATCTATACTAAGTTGTCACCAACTAGTGAAAAGACTTTTGCTCGGTGGCAAATAACTGACTAGAACTCCATAGGACAGAAGTGGCGCTACAGTTTTGAATTTTATATAGTCTTATGTATAACTGCAGTGTGGTTGCGACGATGGTGACACTCTGATTTTTCAACGGAAACAGTACGAACCAAATGTGGAATGGAAGGGAATATCTATGAATTACATTTACACACAATTTTGTTCTGTTGCACGTTTTACAAAATGTTTTAAATAGAATATAAATAGAATGTTTTACAAAATGTTTTATTTGGATTATTTTATTTTAACATTTTTTAAAATTTTTATTTTACAATTTTTTTAACATGGCCTAATTTTATGACATTAGTTCATGAGTAAGAAAATGGGGGACTTAAATAATATAACTTTGCTTATTTTTTAGTAATATACATATTTGTAATGCGAATATTTGAATAGGATGATTAAGTTTCAATTTTTGACATTTATCGTTTTCTTTTAATAATTTCACTTGCATATTTAAAATATTCATTTGAGTTACTTGATAAAAAACAAATCGATTTAAAAATTAATTTTTCAACAGAAATTCCAGTTCAAAAGAATATGAATTATTCAATGCGATAAACAAATGCTGATTTTCGTCGAATGTTAACCCATTTGCAATTTTCGTTTAAATGATTTTCGTTCACATCTTTGGTAATAATAGACACGGTGACCATGCATCGTCCTTCAGCCGATGCCGCTATTTCTTTATAATCATTTGCATCGACGTTCAAATCAAGTGAATAAATCTGTAGTGTTGTTAATTTCTTTCCCCATGCCAATATTCGTATAATACCTTTTGCTGTAAGTTCTTCAACGGTAATTGTTAAATGTTCCAATGTTGAAATTCTGGCCATTTCTATAGCGTCAGCTTCGGAAAGTGATGGTACAATCAAGGCCAAATGTTTCAACGTCTTCAGTTTGGCTATGGCATCTACGCAATCGTCATCGGCACCCTCAAGTACAAGCTTTTCAAGTGGTACATTCTGTTGAACCATTCGATTGATTAATGTTCTCGGTGAATAATGGCGACCAATCAAACTCAACGCTTTCAATTTTCGTAAATGTATCAAAAACAAAATGTGGTTTTCAAATGCATTGCCTGTGTCACAACTGGCTGCGAACGTGAATTCGGTTAAATCTGGCACATGAGTTACAAGTTCCGGCAGGATATGGCTTGTGATTTGTTGGCAACAATATAATTTCATTTTATTAATTTGTGGATTCATTTCCAAGAAGCTTAGTAGAGATTCTTCATTCATGTGTTTTATGTCGAAAAATTCAACATTCGTCAATGCTGGCACATGATGAAACATCCAACCGAAATTTAACACAGTTACTCGTCTCAAAATCAATTCTTTTAGCTTCGAATTTAAATTGAAATTGTATAATCTGCCATAGTTTATTTCCAATCGTTCCAATGACTTAAATTCACTTTTGAACCGAATCACATTCGTCGAATGCATATTGAAATCACCATTTGGAGCTCTTTTAATCTGGGAACATCCACCGTTAATTACAAACTCGGTTAATGTATGACGACAGTATTTTGCAATCATTTTTAATGCATTTCCGTAAGTTTGGTAATCTTTGCAATTCAACCATTTGATCGAACGAATCTGATTACCGAAAATCGGAAAACAAAGTGGTACATTTTTTGCACGGATCGCATTTGGACGTTTTAAATCGTCATCGATGCAAATCTGCTTATATTTTCGGTGAAAGCACATTATGGCGTTTTCTTTGTAACGCACACATGTCTCTGATGCACGAATGAAATCACGCAATGTTGGCAACAGCAATAAAATCTCTTGCACACAATCGTCATTAAGTGCATTCAAAATGTTACGACGTGAATCTTGGGCTGGTGGAGCATCCATTTTTTTTTTTTTTGTTCTTTTAAATGTAATTTGAACTTTAATTGAAGCCGAATTTTTAGCCAGAAAAATATGGTTTTCTCTTCTTAATTGAATTTTTTCACAGATTCCGATTCCACTTTTGTATTACCAAAAATTTAACTTTTCTTTCTCCGTTCGCTCAACTTTACTACCCTTAGATCTAAACTTTTATCAAAGTAAATCTTTCGATTAAAAAATCTGAATAATTTCGTATTTTAGAGAAGATGCTTGTGAATTCTCCAAATGGGGTGATCGCACAAAATAAAATGTGATCAATATTCGAATGCACCGCAATTTAAACCTGACTCTCATTAAGAAATCATTCAAAATTACATTTTTCGAGGACATTACATAAATACATATTAATTAGTCTTAATTATCTATAATTAGAACTAGAAAAAACCAGCAAATTTTCGACTTGTTATTGAGGAAAATTTTGAAAATTGTCTTTTTGAGCTGTGATTTTTTTTACCTGCGAAACATTTATTAACCATTAATGACGTCTAAAGGAGAGTGAAATATTCTTTTAGTAGCTTCTAGTAGATTCTACTCTTCAAAAACTACCATTTTAGAGGCAATAATTACTTCGGTCTGTACGACCACATGCAAACTCAATAGACTACTTCCAAATGGCCCTAATCGATAGTAAACAGTCCAAACAATACCATCTAGCTCGGTTTTGATTTCACTGATAGGTATAAGAAACAAAAATTTATAATTATTTAACAAATGAATTTTGATTCGTTTTTCATTTTAAGAAAAAACTGGAGGTTGGTCCCTTCCAACAGTTGTAATTTCCGAGTCCAAGAACAGATTTGGCTCAAATTCCGTTGGCATTCCTAAAAAGGATGGCTCTTCCTAAAAATGAAATGGATATTTACTTGTGTCGCCATCTAGTGTCCGATTCTAAGAACTTATCAGCCCATGTAGTAGTGTATTTTTAGTTTTCTATAGTAAAAATGTGTGTCTACCCCCTAGAATTATGTTCTAAAGAAAACAATAACAGATTAGTGAAAATAATAACATTACTGCAGAATTTACAAGAAGTTTATAAATGCATCCTTTTGTTAATTAAGCACTAATCAATCTTTTTGGAACTTTCCAGTCAAAATTCCATGTAAAAAAGGTTTCGCCAACAAGTTTGTAAGAATAAATCAAAAATATTGTAAATACAGATTTCAGTTGATATGAAAAGCGCGTATTGGTTAAGCATGGACCTAACTATAAGTAATCTCGAGTGGCTAAAATCGATTGAATTTAATACAGAAAACTTTTACAAATTCCAAGTTATGAGTTAATGACTTTCACCATAATGATGTAATAAGTCTGCTTTAAAATAGAACGCGCAACTTCTGTTCAACAAAATATAATTGATGAAAAAAAGTCATAATAAAGTCACGCATACAAAAATGAAATGTTTGGTTCAGGTTGGAAAGACGAATAAATACGGTGTATAAAAATTGTAGTATGAATCATAATAAAAGATCAGCCGATATACTTTTCATGACGGGTAATTGAACCAAATTTGTTGCATATTGGACTGATGCCGATTTTTGCAATGTTATTTCAAGAAGAAAGACATCTATTACAAGAACCGTTCGTTTTTAATAAATTTAAGCAAAGGAAAACGTAGAATATCCTTAAAGATGCAAAAAGAAACACAAACAAAAGGAATTAATACTACGAATGCCACACGATGACAAAGTTTTGATGTTTTTTCACGTTCAACTCACATTTGCATTGTCTCTCATACAGGCGGGTGGGTATATGAGGTAAAAAAGACAATTTTTTGTTAAAATAAACAAGTGACCTACACTTGTGAAAAAAACTTTTTTTTTCTTCTTCAACAATCCATAGAAAAAATGACATTTAATCACCCACCTTATAATCTTTGATTTTTGTTTGTTTTCCGGCCAATAAAAAAGGTAATATAACTTTCCTGCAATTGATTCCAGCCAAACGGACTTCATGTACGTGCGGTGTTTGATATGGATAGCAAAGCAATATAATCGCCATTGCGTTCAATACGATGTATGTGTACGCACGTTTGTTCAACTTTGTTGTAACGAGCGAATACAATCTTTTTTTAGACATAATAGCATGTGGAATAGTGGAGCGAGTCAACAACAAATCGGTCCGGTTGAATTGTAAACATTTTCCGGTCGTTCACACGTGTGCGCGTACACATCGTTAGTGTTCCGTGGTAATTAGGAATGCGTTATGAAATCAATCCGTTTGCCTTTTATCCAATTGCCTGTTCAGACGCTAATTACATATTTATAGCCTTGCTGCAATGATTCAATGAGGGAATATGAAGTTTACTATTTTTCCTTCGTTTGTTTTCCACACTGTTTTCCTCGATTCATACAAAATAAAAACAAATTTTCTTTTTAGATTTTTTAAAATTACAAAAAAACACTCTTTATTCAAAATGGCTTTCAAATCGATTGTTACAATATATTATTAGAGAGAGAAGAAAACTTAAAATTTATCAAATTTTTAAAGATTCATTTCAAACATTTAATTTAGATTGGCTGATTTTGGCATAGCACAGAAAAGAACATAACCCAAAGTTCAGAGACTTTGTTCGTTTTTTGTTCGTTTTTTTTTGGATAACATTGCTGCTTTCGAACCCACAATTTTGAATTTATGCAAAATAGAAGATCTTACATGCAATTTATACAATTTTTGTAAACGTTAGGCATTTGTCAATTTTGTTTGCTTTACATTCTATCTGTATATATACAACAATCAGCTGATTGGGCATATTGTGATTTATGCACAGAATATGCATTTTACAACCGATACGATTATCATTAAAGCAATCAGTGCCAAGATTGCAATGATTATATACGAAATAATCAAAAAGGCATTGTCGGACATGCTACCCAATCCCATATCGCATTTAAGGACCAAAAGACTGGTTTTAAAGCTGTCGAAGCCTCCCTCACTCCCGAACTTGCTCCTTGCTCTTATGACGCCGCAATTTACATCATCACTGTAAAAAAAATTAAATAAAATTTATTAATATTCTCTCTTTCTCGCCTCTCCCTCTTTTCATTTAATTTTTCTCTCTCTATTTCAACCTCTCTCATTCTTTCTATCTCTCTCTCCCTCCCTTCTAGTATGTGTACCTCACTAAATGTGTGAAATTTAATAAAGTTTACTACATTTCAGCGATAAAAAGTCAAATTAATCTCTTGTTGTCACTAAGTTTGCTTCAAAAATCTGATAAAACATGACTGTTACCACTTAATTCAATTGTGGTTTTTCATAAAAAAAAGTCGGAAAAATTACATCACTTTTTCTCTGTGAAATTTATTCTGACGCAGAGCGTTCTAAATCATTTTACAACATTCAATGGGAAAAAAATGTTCAACAAAAATTCAGTTTTCATTATTTTTCATAAATTATTTCCATGTTTTCAATATTTGAATGTGAAAGAAGCAAAAGAAGATGTAAACAATGAATAAGTTCCCACCAAAGAACGTAGCGGACGCAACTACTGACGATATAAACGCTTACATAGCTCTAGCGTATCATATACGACGCTATTGCGATTCTAAGTTATGTTATCTTGATGGAGTGCGTCTTTCTTTCGCTTTTAAATGTTTTCTTCTTTCTCATTCATATAGAAATTGTAATAAATATAAATCTTCTCATTGTTCAAATGTTTTTTCTACATTTTTCTGTTAAACGTATAATACAAAAACGAATGAATTTTTCTAATAATCAGCATAGTATCGAATCTTCACACCAACTCCAGTCTATTTTCACTGTTTTTCAAAAAAAATATCGACTGGATTCATCATAGCGGAATTGAATGTGTCTCGTGTTCTGTCCATTGGGGGGGGGGGGGGGGGGGCTGTACGGTCACCATACATATATGTAAATGATAATTCAAAAAATACATTCGAACAGGGTGTGACCAACACAGCGAATAATGGCATTTCCCTTTGAATAACGGAAAATCAAATGTGTTTTGTTGAAATGATTTGAACACGTAATTGAGCCACGAATGGCGTAATCTTTCAAAGTTTTTCCGTGATAAAGAAAAACCCCGGTTGGTCTCTTGCGATTCCAGGTTTGTTCCGCATAGAGATACATAAAATGGTGTATTATGCCACCGCATACCAAAATAGACCTAAATGAATTTTACACACCTCAAAATTAATTAAATGTGCAACGCAATGGGGATAATGTTAAACACATACATCACTTGTGCATTGCGTTCTGTTTATGTATTAAATACATAGTAACAAGAATAATCGACACTAATTTTATCTGAAATTCGACGTAGTTCCGTTTAAAACCACAGTTTGCATTTCGTTCGAATGATCGCCTTGCAAATGAATTCATCGAGATATGTGGCATTCAATTAAACTTCACTTGACTAAATGGAATGAGCGAACGTTTAAAAATAATAATACCGAATGGAACGAAACAATCGAATTCTGTTTAGAACGAATTCGCCGACTGGAATGATTTTATACCAAGTGAGCAAACAAAAAACAATATGATTAAGTGTTTAAGTGCTGTCTCATTCGTTACTTTGATAGGACTTCGTCATATCGCGAATTGAATATTGAATTGTTATTTTGTCAGCAATTGCAAGTGAGTCAGGTTCGTTGGTGGCATAGTAATCAGTCACTCTGGAAATTTCAAAGATTTTTTCCAACATAGCATACTAATTTTAACTCTGACTCACATTTAAAAAAAATATTTTATAATACTATCCGCAATTAATGCTTAACACGCAACAATTACCACACGAAAAAAAACCTACATTGTCACACTCAGCATTGAAAAAAAAAATTGTTTACACTATGCATTTGTACGAGTGTATTTTTTTCTTCTTCGAATGATCAAAACACACAGTTGTTGACGCAACGGCCTTCATTGCAAAGGCGTTTACGTGATGCGTTTGTTAAGCATTGGCCGTACGCGTGCCGCTGCTTATATATTTCATCACATAAACTTTTTGTATGTATGTACTGAAATGGAATACACACTGGCTCAAAAGTATGAGCTCATTCTCCAAATAGTTTATATTAATAAACTAATCGACACAAACATCTTTTTCAAACCAAAAATTAAAACTTGTTAAAACCCAGCATCGGGTGTGATATTATCACAATCCACATACTTTTGAATGTGAGAGGTAGAAACGAAAAATAAAAACAAATAAACTTTCATCGAACATTTTCGGATGAATTTTAATTAGGTTAACTTTCAAAATGAAATATGAAACTTACGTCAAATCGCCAGAAACTGTGGAAAAATTGAAAACATTTTTTTTACAAATTTATGAAAATTCAATTGAAATGAATTAAATTGCGTATAAAAAAAAATACCTGATGCGAAGGCAGCACAGCAAAATGCAAATAATAAAACGAACTTCATCTTGATTTCTTTTTCTTTTAAATTTATTTCACCTTTCGTAAATGACGGTCAAACAACAACTGATGAGTTGAAATTTATTTAAACAAAAAAACTTGTTTTTTACACGTGTGATCGTGGTATACTTCTTGAATTTTTATGTTGTTGTATGGCGTTTTTTTTCCCACTTTTTTGAATAGTTGCTGTGTGTGACACTGATCTTTACGGCTATATTGTATGCGAGTGAAATAACAACTGAAACAACGTTCACAAAATATACGCGGTCAAACGGCGACATGAAGGTAATAACAATGCCCATAAAGGCAACAATGTACACGTACACTCACTCGGTTCGACGATAACGCATTCAACGCAGAGCAGATGTACAATAAATACAACAATAAGCACCATACGCACATCGAACATAGATACACACAGACGATTTCTCAGTTGGTTCTATTTCTATGTTTTTGTTATTCGATTTAGGTGTGTTTTATTGAAATAGGAAAAAAACCGAAGACTTTTTGTTTGCGACTTAATGTGTGTATGCGTTTGAGTCTGCGACGGGTTTGTTGTTGTTGTTTCCATCATATCGCAATTCATTTTATGGCTGATTTTATTAGTTCTTTTATGAATTCATCCCTTCTATTTTGCTGCCGCTTTTTTACTTGCTTGCGCATCATAGACTCGATACGACACGATACCGAGTCGCAAGAGAAAGAGAAAGCCAATTCGTCATTCGGCTTCATGATGATACAATTGTTAGCGGTTTTGTATTTAAACAGTGTTTTGTTACTAGTTTAATTTGACTTCCGATGCCATACATCTCTTTCGTTTCGTTAATTCTCTTTCTTAATTTTATCTTTGTCTTGGTTTGTTCATTCGTTTCGCTTGTTTATTGTTCTCTCTTTCTCAATTACTTCGCTCGACGTTCACTCCATCATAGTTTCTCTCTTTTCGAATTCTATATCACAATTCTCTCTTGCTCGGCGTCTATTTGGTTTCTTTCGGAATATCAATGTTTTTCAACAACATGGAATGATGTCATCGAGATATGAACCATACGGAGATGAGATAATCACCATATTTTGACCTCTCGTTCTGCGGAATCGATAGAATGATAAAATATAAAAAAATTACTGCGGATTACAGAAATTGAATTGATGCAACAATGAAATTTATGTTCAAATTAATTTTTTTGTGCGATGGAACTGTGCACTTTATCGCTATTTTACCGCATGTTACTTATGATATCATTGTCAAATAACAACTTTCAAATTTGTATCAGTGTGCGATGGTTCAAGGCGTTCCAACACACATTTTCGGAACCTTTTACAAGTTCACCGTTTTTGGTCTATTGAGACCGAAAAAAGAATCATGTCGCACAATCAAAGTTTGAATCTATGATACGCACGAAACATAAGACCATATCGGTCATCACCAAAGGGAAGGGATACCTTTTTCTATTCATTTTTCAAAGTTCGGTTTTTTGAACATGAGGTAACCGAATTTGTCATTTAATTCAATGAAAATGTTGTAAATAGCGAAAATTGGATTTTTTCATGGGAGATAGAATAGATCTTAATTGAAATTTTGTAGACATTCTCTGTTTTCGTTAGCGAAAGTTCTCTTATAGTGTCAAGAAATAAAATCACGGAACACCTGTTATAGGGTACACTCTCACTAACGGGAATTTCTGTAAGCTAGAGAAGGAGGTGCGATGCAACGTGCTGTTTTTGCTCTCAATCTTTCACATTGATTTTGATGTCAAACAAGCATATGAAAAAAATGTCAAGTTTTTTCTTTGATAATTCAAGATGTTTTTTTTTTGTTGATAAATATACATTTTTTCCGCGAATCCAATTTAAAATCGCAAATCTGACTTCTGTTTTGGTTTTTTCGTATAAAAATTATCTATCCTTTGTTTTCACATGCGAACAAGGGAGATAGCATTGTACACACAAGCAATCGTCGCGTTGTTTACGAATAAACAGAACAAAACGTACACTAACACACAAGGAAAAACAACCACTTGGCGCACAATTCGGCGAAATGTCATGCGCATTAGATGGTCTGTTGTCTCATTTTCTTGCTCTGAATTTTCAATATCTCTGGTCACTTGATGGGGATTTTATCAATCTAATTCGTCAAAATATCGATTTTTCACATGAAAATTATTTGGAAAATTAATGAGTTTTTTAGATGATCTCAAAATGAATGATCAAAATAACCGACTTTCCATTTCAAATTTAGCCCGAAAAAAATGCAACAATACCGAATCATCGCCTGCGCTGTCAATTTTGTGACATTATCGTTGTGTTGGTGCTATGTTAGAAGCGGCATTTCATCACATTTTGTCATCGAGAGTAGTCGCACCGACTAATTTATATTAGTGTGTTCTGTTAGTGTGTTTTTTTTTTTGTGCCAAACAAATATCCTTAATTATTTTTCGTGAATTGTTTTGAAATTGACAATTGGCCAATGGTGGTATAAATTGATGCCAAATTAAATAAGAATAGAAAAAACGAAAAGCGTACAAATTTGCGAGATTTTGTAGAAGATCGTGACAAATTTTGGTAAGTAGTTCTGTACACAGCATTTACCAAACATTTCTTCGTCAATTCAATGCCAACTACGTTTTTCGTGCATTTTCCATAATTTTTTATCTTTTGCACAAAAATTAACAATTTTATTCGCGAATTTCACAATTTTGTGAAATTGGTTGACATTTTCGCGCCATCGGCTCTGTTTCACGCCACCGTTATTGTGTGATCCAGCTAATAAATAAAGGCATTCATTCCAACTGATGTTTACAATTGATAAATGGGCACAACATTTTTGTGTTTTTTTCTTCTCCCGTTCCTTTGGCTGGAAACATACATCGTTTGTGTGTTATCTTCTTTGAGAAGAGTGTCGGTGATTTTTGGTGCGTTTAAATAAAACATTGAAGCCACGATTTAAGTCGCACGGAAAACGGTAAATGTGACCATTTTGTTACATAGCATTTGGTTCTCCTTCAATTTCTTGACAGAACCATTCATTTTCCAAGCAACTCATTATGTGTTTTGAACGAAATTATTTATTTATGATTCACACATTTATGCATCGAATTTCTGCGGATTTTTCTGAATTTAGTTTTTTGTTCACATGATGGCTTTGTTAAAATCGGAACAACAGTCACTATTCAAATTCGATCTCAATTTTTTTTTTGAACAGCTCTTTTAACCACTTTCATCTTCTGTGGCTGAAAAGTTATTCCAATTTTTTTGGGTAATGCATCTGAGATATCGGAAATTTAGTTCTGCCTGAATTATTTTTACAATTTGATGCATGCCTGAAATAAAGTCAAGTTAAAAAAAAACAAGTCGTAATTTATCTTCTCTATCTCTCAGCAAAAATGAGTAAGAACTCTCGAAAGCGCAAGCATGGTGGTCCAAACGGTCTTCAATTGGGCGTAGGTATTCAATTGGGCAGTGGTAGTACAGCCGGAACGAACCCACCGTTAGACGAAGTTGATGAAGAGGGCATGGTTGTGGCCGAAACTTATGCGGAATATTGGCCAGCAAAGTTGAAAATTGGCAAGAAGCATCCGGATGCTGTAGTTGAAACGGCTTCTCTATCGTCTGTTGCTCCAACAGACATCAGCTACGAACTCGAGATCCCAGATGAAACAATCGATGAAGGAAAATTGAGCGCATTACAATTAGAGTCCATAATCTATGCATCGCAAGCACACGAACAACTGCTGCCAAACAACTTCCGAGCTGGATTTTTAATCGGTAAGCCTGTAACAGTTGACTCTGTAACAGTTAATACCAACATGATTGCGTTTAATTTGTAATTAAAATTGAGAAGAAATTTCATAAAAACGGAAGATATTTTGTGTTTATTGGTTGCACTTTTCCATGGATATTTATAAAAAAATGTGACAATTTTTGTGTATTATGTAGGCGATGGTGCTGGTGTTGGCAAAGGTCGAACGGTGGCCGGCATCATTTTCGAAAGTCATCAACGTGGTCGAAAGAAGGCCATTTGGATTTCGGTTTCAGCTGACTTGGTCGAAGACTCCACGCGAGATTTGAAAGACATTGGCGCCGGGAAGATCAAAGTTCACAATTTGAGCAAGGTAACGCAATTGATGGAACATGAATTGGTTTTTTTTTTCTCTGGGATATGATTGGTCGGTTTTTTATTGAATTTTTTCGATTCCATTCGTATTAAACAATAGTTTTTTCAATATTTCAGTTCAAATATGGAAAAATTGATTCGAAAATCAATGGTTACATCAATGAGGGTGTAATTTTCAGCACATACTCGTCGTTGATTAGCAAACAAGCAAAGAACAAGAACATCAGTCGTTTGAATCAACTGGTGCAATGGTTTGGCGCTGATTATGATGGTGTCATCATCTTTGATGAATGCCACAAGGCCAAGCATTTGGTCAACGCCAAAGGCGATAGCTCACAAACTGGAAAAGCGGTCGAAGAGTTACAGGAACGACTTCCAAATGCTCGTGTTGTATATGCTTCGGCAACTGGTGTGTATGATGAATGACTCTTTTGGTCAATGAGATTAGAACTGAGAACTCTAACCTTTATTTCTTAATCTTGAATTCAAACAGGTGCGTCCGAGCCACGGAATATGGCCTACATGAATCGACTTGGTCTATGGGGAGACGGTACACCCTTTAGAAACTTTGCACTGTTTCTCACAACCATCGAAAAGCGGTAAGAGATATAAAACTTTTTGGTTTTTCTTTCACATTTCAAAATTAAATTTGATTCACAGAGTCACACAAATCTCGACAAATTTAAAGAGATCTATTTGGATAAAATTTATTCGGATTTTGTGAAGTTTATGTTTAAAATTTAATTATTTATTTAATTAATTTGTTGATCTGATTTTAGTGGCGTTGGCGCAATGGAAGTTGTTGCAATGGACATGAAATTGCGTGGAATGTACATCGCACGACAGCTGAGCTTTAAAGGTGTCACATTCAAAATCGAGGAAATTCCATTCGATGAAGCATCCGAGAGAACATACAATGACTCTGTAGCTTTGGTACGTTGGTTTTCTTTATCAATAGTTTCAAATTACTTTGACGTTGGAATTGTTAATTTTTGTTGTCAAAACTTTGAACTCAATTGATTGACGTCTGCTAATAAGACATACCTCTAGATCAGTAATGCGCAAAGGGGAGGGGAGAGTGGGGTTTACCCCCACTGTGACTTCAAAATTCATCCAATTTGCTAGGGATTTTCGCCCGGAACGAAAATTTTTCTCGACTTCCTAGGGTTTTTTGAAGAAAATTTGGAAAATTTTTACTCGCATATTACTGCTCTAGATGTGTTTTGTAAAGAGTTGCTTTTACACTACGTTTTCAACTTACAGTGGATCGAAGCATCAAAAAATATCGTAGAAGCGATTGCATTGATGAAGGTTGATCGAAAGCAATCAAAAGTAATATGGGCACAGTTCTGGGGAGCTCATCAGCGCTTCTTCAAATACTTGTGCATTGCATCGAAAATCAAATTCGCTGTCAAAGCGGCACAAGATGCTGTCAAGGATGGAAAATGTGTGGTGATTGGGCTTCAGTCAACAGGTGAGGCGCGCACCCTCGAGGAACTCGACATTCAAGGTGGCCAATTGAACAACTTTGTGTCGACAGCCAAGTAAGTTAAGATTCTGTTTTGCATTTTTTTGAGCGAAATTTTATTACTTTTGCATAGTGTCCGTTGTTTCACATCAAATATGACATTATTATCGATATTTTATTTAACTTAATCGATATTTTCTATGCTCTCTAGAGCTGTATTTCATTCAATGATCCGGAAGCATTTTCCAGCTCCAAATAAGCCAATCCAAAAGGAAAAAAAGACAATCGCAAAAAAGGAATCGAAAGTGATTGCACCGAAAGCAACATCGAAGCCGGCACGTAAGCGTTCCGCTGGTCCATCACATGCAAGCACACGTACAAAACGTCCACGATTTACCATCACCGTTCATGATTCGGACACAGAAACGAGCTCTGACTCGGACTGTGATATTGAAATAAATGAATGGGACAGCTCGTCAAGCGATGAAAGCATTGTCACAGGTAAATTCAAAATTAAATTCCAAGCGAGCAATTTTCCCAATTTTTAATACTGTTTTTTTCCGAATCATTTCGAAAAAGTTGCTTCAAACAGCAGTGACACGACCGTTATACTCAATCACTCAAATCATTCAGATTTCGATGATGATTTCGACGATGAAGACTTCAAGATCGTCGATCTTCAAAAGACAGACAGTGATTTGAATAACAACTCACAATCTGATCGCGGTGACAATGAGAAGATGAAGTTGAACGCAGAACAGGCTGCTCGTATGAAAGCGGATCTATTGAACAAGATCGAGAAACTTGGTGAACGTTTGCCAACAAACACGTAAGTATATTGAATTATTTTTAATTGAGTATGGTCTCTTTGCAAATGAGGTTGATTTCATTTGAAAATAAAACAATTCATTTATCGTTGATTTAAATCACGTGATATATCTGAGATTCAATCAAACCTGAGATCATTTTCAATTTCACTTTTTAAGTTCATCATTTTTTCTGATTTAAAATCGATTTCATTTTTATTTTTTTCTTATTTTAAATCGTAAATCAACAACAGATTGGACAATTTGATCGATTTACTCGGTGGAACAAGTAAGGTAGCCGAATTAACAGGTCGCAAGGGTCGTGTAGTGCGAACTCGAAAAGGTGTCGAATATGAGTCACGCGCCGAAGATGATGTCTCATTGGAAAAGCTAAATATTCGTGAAAAAGAACGTTTTATGAATGGTGAAAAATTGATTGCAATCATTTCGGAGGCGGTAACTACATATTGAAATAAATATATAAAAATACGAAAATGATGAAGAATAATTAATTTATTTTTTATATGTCTTAAGGCATCAAATGGGATCTCACTGCAAAGTGATCGTCGGGTAAAGAATAAGCGTCGTCGTGTGCACATCACACTCGAATTGCCATGGTCAGCTGATCGTGCCATTCAACAATTTGGTCGAACACATCGTGCCAATCAGGTCAGTCCACCGGAATACATATTTTTGATTAGCGATTTGGCTGGCGAACGTCGATTTGCTGCATCGGTCGCAAAGCGACTTGAATCACTTGGAGCATTAACTCATGCCGATCGACGTGCAACCGACACTCGCGATCTCTCACAATTCAACGTCGAGAATCGCTATGGCAAAAATGCACTTGGTACCGTTTATGATAGCATCCTTCGTCGTGGTAGAAACGATTCGATCCCACCACCGAAAGAGTATAAAGGTGACTTTTTTGAAGATTTATCGAATGCATTGATTGGCGTCGGCTTAATGGAAGACATCGAAGGTTTGACGAACAAGCAACGTCTCAAGGACGGAGCCCGATCAGATATTGCCAGATTCTTGAATCGCATTCTGGGCTTGCCGGTTAAACTACAAAACCATCTGTTTAAATACTTCACGGACACGATGGATAAATTGATCGATGATGCCAAAAAGGCTGGCAAATACGATATGGGCATCATGGACATGGGCAATACCAACAACGTGAAGGTGCTCAGCACCCGAACATTCAATCGTAAACATGCCACTGGCATTGCACCCATTGAGCTTCATACCATCGAAATTGACCGAGGAATCACATTCGAAGAGGCAGAAAAAAAGTAAGTAAATTGTTTTTATTGAGACATGATTAAAATTGAGAATTACTTGAGAATAAGCCATATTTTTATGGCCTCAATGATCGTTTGGAGATAATTTATCATAAAACTGAAAATATACGTCACTAATTTACAATTTATTCTAGATACGCCAAATCAAATGATCAGAACGAAGGCTTTTATATATCAAAAATCGGTTCACGCAAAACAGCCACACTTGCCATGTTTGCAAATAGTTCACAGCATTCAACTCTAATGCAAATTTACCGTCCAAATGTTGGTATTTTGACGCGCCAGGAATATTTGACTGATATTCTAAGCAAGAACTACAAAGTGGCACCAAAAGATGCGAAAAAGTCCTGGAATGACCAATATGAAGCATCGCAGAAAATGTGCGCGCATAAATATTGGTGGGGAAATTGTAAAAATGCAGCTGCTGGTTTCTTTTGTGATGTAAGATTCGCTAAAAAATAAAATATTTTTGTTTTGGTTCAAGAATTTTTAACAAATTCTCTTCTTACCTCCCTTAGTTCGGTTTGCGCAAGCGTGAATACTACGTGGTGGCTGGTTCAATTTTTGCAGTTTGGCAGCGCATTGAGCACCAAATCAACCAACATGAACAAGGAATGGTGGGCAAATTACAGGTGATTCGTATGAAAACGGCCGAAGGACGAAAGATTGTTGGAGTTTTGGTGCCACAATCCAGCGTCACTCACATCATCGAAGATCTCGAAAAAGACTCGGTTCAACTCGACAACTAATTGACATGACTTTATTTCATGCAATCACACATCTATTCGACGTAGATCGTATTTTTTAAGTTTTGATGAAATCACCCAACGAATATTTACTTATTTTTTTTCTAGTTTAATTTTTTTTATTCATTTAATTGCTTCCACTGCTTATGGTTTTTTGTAAGCAGATAGTTCAGAAAAGAGCCAAATTAAGCAAAATATTGAAAATTAAGTTAGACTGATGACTGAATTTCTAAAAGAGATTTCTTATTTTCAAGGGAATTTCTAATTAAGAAAAATATTCTAACAATGGAAGAAATGTATGCGAACAATCGCTTTCTCATCCAAAAAGACTAGAAAAATAAAATATTTTTGAAGTTGACATTGATATTTATTGTTTTTGATTTGGAAATCTTTTTTTTTCTCTTTAATTATCGTTACTGTCTATGAAATTTTCAACGGTGAGCATATTTCCTTTTTGTTACTCTCATGTGTGCATGCATGTGTATGACTATGTCCTTGACTATGGCCAATGGCCATGGATTCATTTTTAACTTGAAAATAAATTTATACCCTTTTCAGAATAAAATGACTGATTGACTGTAACCAAATCAACAAGTGCATTGGCTATGATGCACCTTTGTTGTTTGCTCTTTGCAGATTATTGAATATTCGCATTGATGAACACCCGATGAAATCCATGGTATTGATGCATATTCGTGGATCAAATTTGCTCAGCGAAGTAAAATAGGCACCTTTAATGGCAAACATTTTCTGCCGACTGTGTTCGAGCTCTAATTGGAACTGTTACTACACACTACACACACACACACACACTGTTGTTATTCATCAGTTCTCTTCAGAGTTCTCATAGTCACATAGTCTATATAAGAGCGAACATCAAAAAATAAGTCTTTTTTCTTTAGTTTTCAGTTTTTGAAATCCGATAATCGCATGTAAGTTTCGGCCGAGGGTTTAATGTACTTTATTGTCATTGGATTGACATTTTTAAATGTCTTTTTCTGCTTTTGATAGCCATTTTTCCTTTCTTTTGTATCTTGGTAGAGAACACACGTACATTGTTTTGATAGTACAATACAAAGGCAAACTAACTCATTAACTCATTGGCCTTGGGGATAAAAACTGCTGCTAATTATACTAAATTGTGTTACCAATGCATTTTGCACATTATTATTTTTAATCAAATTAAAATGTTTTTTGCTAATTTTTTGAGCTTCATGGTCACCAATTCCGGTATGTATTCATTTCCAAATCCTGTGAATCGTTCATTGGGCAATTCAATGATAAGAAGTACTAATGTATTCGTGTCGAGATGGAAAATCGAGCATTATATACAATCTCTCATCCGATGATCTCATGTAAGTATGGATCGGGTTGTAATGTATAGTTTATTGTCATTGGCAGAAAATGACATATTCAGTTTCTTCCGAATTTTACACTCCAGTCACTCTTGAATTTCTTCGGTGCGCTTCGAATAAATGTGCGGTTTTTTTGGGATGTGTATTTTTTCTTAAAGCTAGCGAACACAATTACACAAATGCAAACTAACTCATTAGCTCACACAAATGCGCATCTTGGGGATACAA